GCGCAGCCCCGGCTGCGCCACCTCCGTCCTCGCGACCCGCGTGGTGCGGCGGAGGCCCCGGGCTGCAGAGGTGCAGCTCCTCGGCCCCCCGGGAGTCTCCCAGCGCTGCGTGGAGGCCTCTGGTGCTTGGGACCGATGGAAAGGAGGTGGAGAGGGCTCGGGCGTGACGCGGCGCCTCCTGTCGCCGCCGCCGCCGCCACCACCCTCTAGGGCGTCCTTCCTGCGGCGACGAAGCCCGTCGCTCCGGCGCTGCTCCAAGCCGGGTGGGGGGGGGGGGCGCTGGCCGAGCGGGGCTGCGGACCGGGCGGGGTGGAGGTGGGGAGCAAGGTGCTCTTGTTCTCCAGATGCTGGCCTGCGGACGACGGGTGGGGAGAAGGAAGGAACTGACCCCTTGGAGATCTGAAGGGGAAGATAGAGGCATTCGTGTGTATGGTGGGACGGGAGGGGGCGGTCCATGTTATTGAATCCAGGAGCTGTCCTGGGGTGCCCTCTTCGCTTTTCAGAGGGGCCCCTGACTCGTGACTGAGGCGGCTGGCCTGAGGCCCTCTGCCATCCTATCTAGAGGCTCGGTCCCTTTCTTTTTCCCAGGAGGGAGGGGCTAGGCTGGGCTCCTCCCTCTCCTTTTCTCTCTGGCACCTTGGACAAGGGTGGCTGGGCCTGGGCCTCGCCTCTCTCAGACGCCTGGGGGGCCTGGGGTAAAGAATCGTGGCATTGTAGTCACAAGACCAACATTATGTAACTGCAGGCTTTCTCTTGGAGAGTAAGGTGGCTTTTAATTACCGTGACAAAGTTGCTCCTTTGGAGTTTAGGGATGAGCAGGTGAGCTTACTGAGAAACCGGTGCCAAATACGTAACTTTTACTTTGTTGTCTCTGACCATACCCCACGCCCAGCCCTAGGTTTGTAACCGTTCCCCCTGCAATAGGTCACCAGGTGACACTATAGCTTTCTTCACTTACAAAAAATCCCCTGCCGTCTCGTCCATTCTGACTCATAGCGATCCTGTAGGACAAAGTAGAACTGCCCCATAGACTAATTCTTTCCAGGAACAGACTCTTGCAAGCCACTGGTGGGCTTGAACAACTCTGATCTTTCAGTTAGCAGCTGAGTGTTCGACCACTGCACCACCAGGGCTCCTTTTCATTTATAAAGAGCCCTGTAGTGTCAGAACATAATCCCCGTGCTGCTGTTAAACCTTTGCTCAACCCCATTGCTCCATTGATCTCATTTCAGGTTTTTAAAATGAAGATGCTGACAACTCAAGGTCATTTAGCTAGTCAAGCCCTGAACAGGGTTCTCCTGACCTTTCCTCAGCACCAGGTGGTGCTCACAGCTTCCTCTTGAGGCTTTTCCTCCGAGGAGTGTGTCAGAGGGTCCCGCTTCCTAACAGGATAACTGGGTTCTGACCCACTATCCCATGGGCTTTGACAAACCTCTGCTGAATTGAACTGGCCTTGTTTAGTTTGGTAGTGACAGCTAAGGTGGCTTGGATGCAGACAAGGATTGCCAGACTGTCAGCTATCATGTGTGCATTCTTTGCTTTTAGTGGAAGTTGAAGGGGGAGTAGTAGTGAGTTCTGCTTTCCCTTCCAGCCCATCCAGCACACAGACTATGAACTCAGAGATCAAGGTGGCCTGGAACAATATCACTTTGTCTTAGTTATGGAGCTCTGGTAGCGTAGTGGTTACGAATCGGGCTGCGAACCACAAGGTCAACAGTTCGAAACTACCAGCTGCTCCGCAGGAGAAAGATGAGGCGTTCTGCTCCCGTAAAGATTAACAACCTCGGAAACCCTTTGCAGGGTTGCTATGAGTCAGAACCGACTCCACGGCACATAACAACACAACAAGGCTAAGATGAGACCATCTTTTGTTCACTGGACTGGGCCCAAAGTGCTACTTTGAGGGTGAGACTTGGGATTGTTGCTGCTCTGGGTTGGGTGAGAGAGCTCTGTTCAAGGACACAGGGCAGGATTTTGCAACTCATCCTTCTGTTCTTGCAGAGCACCTTGCATGCTGTAAACTGCCAGGACCCAGCCAGCTCCCTTGGGATTTCTTTTATCCCAGGAAGGTACCATATGAGATACTACCTCAGAATTTTGGTTGCCAGAGCAAAAAACCAGCAAAATGATTCTTTACTTTTCATTGACACCTTTAAAAACATTTGATCCGGTATCACTGTTTTCCCCAATCCTATGTTTTTTCCTAGGGGAAAGAATGCCTTAGCGTTTCTGTGACGATATTTTAATGCCTTTGCCTCATTTACTAGGTTGGTGTTCTTTGAGTGAACAAATGAATTTGAAAAAAATCCAGGAAATAACACATCAGTGTTGGAGCTGGGTTCAAAATCTAGGGCTTTCAAAACTTAATTGAGTCTTAAAGAATAAATCCAGTGAGTTGATGGGGAAGCAGAGAAAAGGGACAGAATGTGAATACTGTGTGTGATTGACTGCCCAGGTTGAAGGCTGCTCTTTCAGCCTCTCTGCTGCTAAGAGTCATCTCTACCTGAAGTATGAAAGAGAAGACATAGTTATTGGTTCTGCCATCACCAGGCTTCGTTGGCCTGGAATTTACCCTACCCCTTTTTGTCTGTATAGACCATGTGGTCTCTGTTAGAACTACTCTGTTCTTCCATTGTAGGGTAAAAGTAGCCTTACATAGTCAATGTGTAGATGAGTCAGCATGGCTTGTTCTTTTAAAACTGAATTTACAAATACTGGTGGTGGGATAAGAAGAAAGCCAGTGGAGTCCTATGATACTTTGTGTGTTATTTACAAAAACAGATGCTCTTATAAAGCCTTAGTTAATCCTTACACCACTCCTGACAAATCAGGAGCTGTCTTCATTGTTAAAAGGGAAATAATAAAAATCAAATACATAGATGTTAGTGATTTTTCTAAGACCACAGAGGTCAAAGTCAGGACCAGAACTCAGGACTACTGATTCTTTACAGGAATTCATTGTAACTATCCACCTTCCTTCAAGTCCGATAGGAGTTCCCTTTTCCCTCTCTGGTACCAGTGCCTAAATGGCCATTTCATTAGGGGCTTGTTGTGCTTAGGTCTTAGGCCACCTGGTTTATTCTCTGGAAAATCCTGGGATTATCATTTTATGGCTAACAGGTTAATAAGTAGCTCGCTGAAGGATACAACTAGTAGGTTGTTATTATCTATTATCTTGGCTATCAGTGATGTTCAGAATATTGAAAATAGATAAATTTAGAGCTGGATAATCTGCTTTTGTAGATGAAAAAACTGAGGACTAATTATATCTGTTTTACTATTTGCCCTGAATTTCCCTGGGTTGGCGAGCATGCCTCTGCTGAAGCTTAGGAACTCCCTTTTTTCGAGTGCCTTCTCTCTGGGTTTTCTTGCCCTGTCCTCTTACACTCCCCTCTCCCACTGAGGCCCCACACCTAGCGGTTGATGTTTATTATCCAGACCATGGACTGCCAGCTTCACCTTTCTGCTCTTTCTGCAGTGTCACGATGTCTGACCGGAAGGCAGTGATCAAGAACGCAGACATGTCTGAGGACATGCAACAGGATGCTGTTGACTGCGCCACGCAGGCCATGGAGAAGTACAACATAGAGAAGGACATTGCTGCCTATATCAAGAAGGTGTGCTGGTAGAACTTTGGCTGGTGGCCCTGGGTGGGAGTGGACAGCTGAGATGTGCTCCTGGGAAGCCTGGAGTTGGGGGCATAGCAAAACAGATTTGGCCTATGCAGACAAAACCCTAGGAATTTGCAAAGCAAACAAATGACATTTGAGTCTAACTTGCTAGAGTATTCACCTAGGAGTTCTCTGTAGGAGTTCTGCTAGGGGATGTGCGTGTTTTCACTACTTGGCATCAAATATTTGTTTTGTGCTGTCGAGTCAGTTCTGACTCATAGCAACCCTGTATAGTTTTCAAGGAGCAGCTGGTGGGTTTCATCAGCTGACCTTGTGATCCACCGTCCAGTGCTGATTCTATAGGGCCAAACCAGAAGTCCTCAGAGAAGAATAAGATGCAGAAAAGTCTCAGATAAAATATAAATGGCTCAATTTGGAATTATCCAAAGTGAAATGCAAAGATACATGAACAGACAGTAACAGGTACTGCATCATCCCTTTTCTTTTACATTAAGAATAGGGAAGGTGTGAATGTATAATTTTTTATTTAAAAATGATTGAGCAATATTGAGGTGATAGGTTTGGTCCCTAAAAATTGCTGAGTGAATGGATGAATGGGTATAGTTAACAGGATGAGGAAGCAACTGAGCTTAGACATGGCACATGTGACCTGAGTCCACTGATTCTGAGCTAGGGTTCTTGTTCATTGGAGGCATAGTCGTGATAGTCTTAGCTCTTGCATCCCAAGAAGGGGTGTGAGGTGGTAACACTCTGGTTCCTAGAAGTGGTAGGATCTCCTTGGGTTTTATAGAACTCTTGATTTCCTACTACGATGGGTAGGATGTGAAGAGAGTCAGTGTAGTCCTAGAGCCTTGTGTGTTCAGAGCCCAGTGAGGCTCTAGGGGTGCCAGCTGCGGGAGGAAATCCAGAATTGGGGACTCTTGAAGCCAGAATAATCCTTAGATCATCTGGTCCAGCCATCTCACTTTGCTCATGGGGAAAATGAGACCTAGGGAATTGAGGATTGTTCTCCTGTGCTACACATAGTCTTGAACCAGGACCGACACTGGGCTTGATGACCCATTCCCTTTCTATTGCCTCCTACTACCTTTTGGAGTTGTAGTAGGTGGGCTGTGAGGGGACTGAACAAGTTTGTATGTTAAGTACCTGGAGGCTAGCGCCCCAGGTTAGCAGCATTGGTGGCCCATGGGGTTGGGCCAGGCTGCTGTCCTTGTGTGGCTATGGCTGGATACATCAGAACTGAGCCCATTTGTTTCCTGTGCATCCACAAGTGGCAGAGAACTGTGTCTGTCTGATTGGGTCTCATGGATTTCCTGGGTGGTTTTGATGCTGAACTTCTGCCCTGAGAGAAGCGAGAGGATTGTTGTGATGACTGAGGTCCTTGTCCTGGAGCATACAGCCCACACAGTGCCTGGCACATGGAAGCGCCTTTAATATGACTTACACGTAACTTCCTGCTACTCTCCATGTATATTCCTTGTTTCCCTGTCGTGTCCTTGTTTTTAATTGTAATGGGAGAGTCAGTGAATGAGGGAATCTTGCTCACATTTGTACTTGTGCTGTGTGATGTTGGAGATCCTTTATTCCACTGGCCTCTCTGATTCTGCTAAGAAATCACAGAGTGGGTGAGAAGAGATGATGGGGGAGTAAAGTGCCAGCCCCTCTGCGGAGGGAAATACAGGAGCCTTTGTGGTGTTACATTATTAATGAGGGAGGCGTGTCCTAGCTAGCCTTAGAACCTGAGCTCTGAGGTTCAGGGACCCAAGGCCATGGCTGGGGGTAGGGTTGGGGTGATGACATCAGAAAATGGGTGTTAGAGCTGAACCTGCAGGGGGACTCCCATTCTGATTTCTCACCCTCCAGCTGCCCTAACCATCTGATTCTCCCCCTTTCATTCTTTTAGGAATTTGACAAGAAATATAATCCTACCTGGCACTGTATCGTGGGCCGAAATTTTGGCAGCTACGTCACACACGAGACAAAGCACTTCATCTATTTTTACTTGGGTCAGGTTGCAATCCTCCTCTTCAAGTCAGGCTAGGTGGCCGCAGTGAAGGCATCAGAGGCGGCGACAGCAGCGATGGCAGGCAGGCAGCGTTGCTGGGACTGTTTTGCACTGGGGGCCAGCACCAGGATGTGTCCTCTCCAATGGCTGTGCTACTGCATGGACTGTATACTCGATTTCATGTGTATGTCGCAGTAAACAAAACCAAACTTCTTTCTGTTTAGTTGCCTGGGGAAGAAGGCTGCTTTATGTTTTAATTTTCAAGACTTAAAAATTTATTATTTTTTTTGGTTGTATTGCACTAGGAAATCTCTCTCTACCCCTCCCTTTTCTCTTCCTCTCCCAATACAAAAGAAAAAGCCCTCCACTAAGCCCCTAAGACTAGGAGAGCTGAGGAAAAGAAATAGGTCTGTGGAGGTGGAAGGAAAGCTGGGCAGCTGCCTCTTCCGGGTGGTGGACCTGCTTTGGGAGGGAGGGCCAGGGAAGGCTGTTGGGGGACAGCATCAGGGTTGGCAAGGAGAGAGGGATAGGGATGAGGAGGGTGGGGGCATTGTTCTAGTACCAGGGAGAATATTCCACTGAACTGTGATTCTACAACTTGGGGCAGGAGGGTGGGGTGGGGGGTGGATTCTTTAAGGGGCCCTGAGACGTGTTTGTCTGTGGTGTGTGGGAGTGGGGAGCAGACTTGTCTTGTTTCTGTCAGAAGAATTTGTAAGTAAGGGCTGTGTTTTGTGGGTTACCTTATTTTATTCTCCCTGTCAGTGCTCATGCTAGGAGGATGTTGGGGTAGGATTAGCTTGGTTTTTTTTTTCTTTTCATTCTCTCTTCTCCCCTCCTGTCTGCTCCCTGCTTAGCCCTCAGTTTTCTCATTCCTGTGGAGTTCTCTTAGAGCAGCCCTGTCAGTTGGCTGGCAAGGGAATTTCTGGTGACTGTAGTTCCTTAGTTAGGTCTTAGCAATCAAACCAAATCGATGTCTCCCTTGATTTCCCTCCCTGTGTGTTGTGTGTTTGTGTGTGTGTCTGTGTTTTGGTTGAAGGTAGAGGGGAGGGATGGGCAGGACAGTGTGGAATCTCTTAAGATGTTATGGGTAGGTAGGGACACAGTTTTAAGTGAGCCTTTATGTTAAAAACTTCTGGAGAGGTCTTCTGGGGGTGAAGACAGGTATCACCTACTCAGCCACTTAGCCCAGGTCCTATGTTTGCCCTGTGGAGCCTGCCTCCTGGGAATGCTTAGGAGGCCAACCTGGGAGGAGATGGCTTTGCTGCCGTCAATGCTGGGGTGGGTCTCAGTGGAGAGGGAAAGTGACGGAAGGTGCTTCAGTCCCAGGTGGGAGGTAGGTGTGTAGGTGTGGATTTGACAAAGGGTAAAGAGGGGCTGTGGAGGGAACTTCAGAGGAGGTTAGTCTGCAGTGATGAGGCCAGGCATCTAGACATGGAGCAGGCCAAGGAGATTCCAAGGAGAATGCTGGGCAGTCTGGTTTTTTGATGAAATTGAGGTGGGGAGGTGGGGGTGATTGCTGATTGAGCTGCTAATTTTTGTGAATCTCATTAAGAATTTTCATGCATAGGGTTAGCGTTGAGGAAGATGGGGGATCCAGCTCTTTTTTTTTGCCCTCAAGTTCATTGTTAGGGCTGGTGGAGACCAGGAGAAACTCTTAGTGTATGCTGAGCTTTCTTTTCAGTGCTGGCAGGGGAAGGTGGGGCCTGGGTCAGTGGCTAAGTTCCTGTATCAAACCCCTCAGAGGGCACTGTCTGGCAGATTGAGTGCTTGGTTTTAGATTTTATTATTTTTTTTATGGAATGTCCAAATCTGTGTTTTCCCCTTCCCTCCCAGACTTGTGTGGCCAGTTGGAAGTGTCTGGTTTGTGTTCATCTCTCCCTCATTTCTGGAGCAGGGGCTGAGACCCCGCCACATCTCCTATGCTCTGCATCCAGGCCTCTTTTTGGACATTAAAGGTTGATTGATGCACTTGTGAGTTGTTTGGGTTTCTTTGGGGGTAAAGGGGTTTATCTAGTGGTAGTGCTGCCACACGGTGGGGGCGGAGGTTACCCAGGGTGGAATAGAACCGGGGTTGGAGATAAGATCAAGCAGAGAGATACTGATTGCCCTGAATAGGGACTTAGTTGTAGGGTCTAGGATTCAGCCCTTTAAGTTGAGGAAAACCAGTCCTCTCTTGGTGGGGATAACCATTTTGGTATTTGGCACATTAGATGTTGTTACTTGGCTTCCTTTCTGGACCCTAGAGGAGGGTGGCTTTTTAGAACTTATGGCCAGTAGCTTTTCTATTCCCCATTCTAGGCTTCCCTGAGACATAACTCTTCTGTCCTATTATGGCCATTCAAGATGAAAAAGTTGGGGTGGGGGGGGGCTTCTTTAAAGTGGTACCTCTTTTGGTGGCACTTAATGTTTTTCTGACTCCTCTGGGTTATCCTGCTTGTCCCACCTGCCCTGTGGGGGCCCCTGCCCTCGAGAGTATCTGCCCACCTGACTCTTCAGCCACTGATTTCTGGACTTACGGCCCCAATATTCGAGGAAGTGCTAGAGAACAGATGCTTTACCCTTATTTATGCTGCCATTTGTTACTCAGAAACATTTATTGAGTTCCTCTTGTGAACTTGAGCCTAGGATGTTGCCACATAGACAGACAGGCATGTTTTCTGCTTCCATGGCATGCACTTTCTAGCAGGTGAAGCCAATGCATATACATTGATGAGCCTTTTACCAATAATGATAGGTGCTGTCAAGATAGTAAGGCAGACAACTATTGTGTGCAGGAGGGAGGGAGGGTTCCCTCAGGAAGATGGAGGACTGCATCTTAGGGGAAAGATTAGTCACTTTCTGAAAAAGTGAAGTCCTGCGAGAATAAGACGAGGGTCTCTAGAAAACCTCAACTTTGCTTCCTGCCTTGCTGGAAGGAGTATTTTGACAGAGCTGGAGCCCTGGGCTAGAAGAGTAAGGCCACAGTCCATCTCTAGGGCCAAACTTAACATCTTTTTACCCTGATGGGAGAGCCAGTTCCAGTGGAATCTGTGGGCAACGCAGGTGGGTGCACGGTGCTCATCTGGGGAACTAACCCTGTGAGGCTCAGGAGTGGGAGGCAGTCAAGGGGCCCCACCTCTTACCTGGTCCTCTCTATCCTGGAGTTGTGAAGAGGAATGGGCACATGATGACTTCCTGGACTGGGATGAGACAAGGAATGGGCTACGGAAGGTAGACGGGTATTGTGGCCCAGAGGAGCACAGCCACTGCAAAACCATGGCCAGGCTGAGTGAGTAGGCATCAATAATCCCTACTGCTCACCCTGTTCTCCCATCTTCTAGTGCTTCTCCGGTTAAACCCGACCAAAAGGCAGATGGCAAGACTGACCAGAGGATGGGATCTGTAGGGCCAGCCTGCTGCCATCCACCCCCCTTAGTAAACAGCAGGACAGAAGAGAATGAAAAATGAATTTATGGGGGCAAATGAGAATAACCAGCATGGGAAGGGCCTGCCTCTGTTGCCCCTAGAACTCATGTCCTCTAGCTTGGATCCAAGCTATGTTAAGTGCTGTCAAGTCAGTTTTGACTCAGCAACCCTGTATAGGGCTTCAGAGGAGTAGCTGGTGGGTTTAAACTGCTGAGTTCATCACTAGCAGTCCAATGCATATCATACAGCCCCACATCAGGAGACCCCTAATATTTCCTCACTACATTCAGGTCTATGCTCAAACACCCTCCTCTTAGAGGGGCCTTCTACATAAAACAATACCTTTTCCCCATCACCTTCAAGTTTCCTGGTATAATTCTGGGTGGTACCTGTCAACACTTGACATAATGGTTTTATTTACATGTTGGTCTCCTACAACTGTAATATAAAGTCTATGAGAGCAGGGGCAGTTTCAGCATTCACTGCTTCCAAACACACACCTGCTTTGCAATATTGTTTAGTGCTGTCGCCAGGATCCCACCTGCTCTGCTGGCCAGATGAAAAGAGAGAGGAAGCCAGCACCAGTAGCCTCTACTCAGGCTAGCCTGGTCTTTCCTGAAGAGGCTTCTGCCTTCATTTGGCTCATACTTGCTGCCCCAGCCCTGTATATTCCCTGCCGCCTGAAGACTCCCCAAGTGTGTTCAAGCCTTAATACACCTTGCTTGCTAGCTGTGGAAGAATGAAATTCTGTTCCGTGAAGTGCCTTTTAAAGCATTTTCAATTTGTTTATGCCATTGAGGCTTCAAAGCGCTCCTGTGAACAAGACCCAGCCTTCATTAGAAAACAAAACAATCAGGGTGGGTGGCCTGCTAAAGTCCATGTACCATGACTAGAGCTCAGGCCCTGTGACCCAGGGTCTTAGCTACATTGGTGTCACTGATTTTCCTTGAAATTTAGACCAAATTCTCTTTGCTTAGGAGTGGGTTTCTGGTTCCACTGATGTTCTCTCCCCTAGGATTCCTGCAAGGCAACCTCAGGGGGAGTGAATTCCTTGTCCCTCCCTCCTGCCATTTACCAAGGATTGAGGATTTGCCTCTTCTCCTTGGAGGCTCATGGGAGCGCTCATAATCCCTGAAGTTAATGACCCCTTAGGCCTCCCCTGAACTAAAGGCACAGCTTCCTTACCACACTGGTAATAAGACATCATCTATGGAGTCCTGGCGTGGTGCTGTAGAATAAGCACTGGGCTGCTAACTATAAGGTTGGTGATTCAAACCCACCAGCCACTTCTCGGAAACCCTGTACAGGGTCACTATGAGTCAATGGCACTTAACATTACCTGTCAAGAGATCAGGATCCATCTCTTTGTGGTGTTTGTTGTTGTTAAGTGCCCTTGAGTCGGTTCTGACGCATAGCGACCCTGTGTAGGGTTTCCAAGGAGTAGCTGGTGAGCTTGAACCATCGACCTTGTAGTTCAAACGGCTTTGCAGTCTGGTGCATTAACCCACAGCGCCACACCAGGATTGTAGATGGGCCTAATACCCACACTCCAGTGTTCATGCATACCCCTACACACTGCTGCTGTGTGGTTTATAAGAAAAGATCAGAGAACAAGCAGAACCTCAGGTTTCTGGTGCCTCCCTTTCCCTCATTTCTAAGCAAAAGTGTTAATGTTTCTTCATCTGTAAAATGAGGGAAATATTTGTCTTCGCCAAAGAAGGGATGAGGACCAAATACCATGAGTGTGAACATGCTTTGAAATTGGAAAGGTATGATGAACGGGAAGAAAATGAAGAAAATTATTGCAA